CCTGGGGTTTTTATACATTTCCAGTAGCCTTTTGGCCTGAGAAAACAATAGGCTTCACTTCCCTTCTCCTAACATGCTGGCAATTAGCACAGGGTAATTTATCCATTAAACAGTTCAGCTCCAGGTCACCACAACCTTCAAAGAGACACATAGACAATAACACTATTTCCCTCCAGTGGCTTCCTAAATACTAATACTCCTTTTGTGAATCAAAGCTATAGCACTCGACAAGACTTGTTTGCTGACATCAGGACCTGAGCAAACATCTCCCCTCCAGCGCTAACAATGCGGCTGCATTTCAAAGCTCTGTGTACTTACAGATCTTCCTAACCAGTCTATACAGTTGGGCCATGGGGCAGGTCAGTCTGGGAGGTAATTAACTCTTTCTGGCCCTGTCACCTTTCAGTGAGATATTATATCACAATCATAACGTCACAGCAGCATAGAAGAGGGGAAGGAGGAAAGCAGGGAAGCAGGGAGGGTACAAGAGGGAGAGGAGGAGGGTCAGAGAAGGAGGGAGAGTAGAAGAGGGGAAGGAGGAGGGCACAGAAGGAGGGAGCGTAGAAGAGGGAGAGGAGGAGATCAGAGAAGGAGGGAGCGTAGCAGAGGGAGAGGAGAAGGGCAGAGAAGGAGGGAGAGTAGAAGAGGGGAAGGAGAAGGGCAGAGAAGGAGGAAGAGTAGAAGAGGGGAAGGAGGAGGACAGAGAAGGAAGGAGGGTAGAAGAGGGGAAGGAGGAGGGCAGAGAAGGAGGGAGGGTAGAAGAGGAGGAGGAGGAGGGCAGAGAAGGAGGGAGGGTAGAAGAGGGGAAGGAGGAGGGCACAGAAGGAGGGAGGGTAGAAGAGGGGAAGGAGGAGGGCAGAGAAGGAGGGAGCGTAGAAGAGGAGGAGGAGGAGGGCAGAGAAGGAGGGAGGGTAGAAGAGGGGAAGGAGGAGGACAGAGAAGGAGGGAGCGTAGAAGAGGAGGAGGAGGAGGGCAGAGAAGGAGGGAGCGAAGCAGAGAGGCAGGCGGAGAGGCGGAGTGTGCCAGGGTCAGGGAAGGAGACATTGCTGCACCAGAGAGGAGGACGCGGGGAAGGAGGGAGTGTGGCAGAGGCAGAGGAGGAGAGAGACCCGCGGGGACCGAGGGACGCAGGAGGAGGAGCGGGGAAGGAGGGAGTGTGGCAGAGGCAGAGGAGGAGAGGGGAAGCCGGTGGGAGAGGCTGCAGCTGTCCGCACCTCCTCCCAGGTACGTGCCGCGTTCCCGTCTTCCGCCCCGGCCCGACACCGCCCAAACCTTAACCCCCACCCCGCGTGTGCAGCCCCCTGTGTGTGTGTGTGTGTGTGTGTGTGTGTGTGTCCGGACACAGGATCGTATGTGTGTGTCCTTGTGGGGGGTGTGTCCCTAGGGTGTTGTGTGCGTGTGTCTATGCTGCGCATGTCCATCCTACACTGGGTGTTGTCTGTGTGTGTGTGTGTGTGTGTGTGTGTGTGTCCCTGGTGTGTATGTGTGTCCCTACACTGGGTGTTGTTTCTTTTTTGTCCACATCCATACACGGGGTCGTAGATTTGTGTGTGTGTCCTTGTTGTATGCGTGTCCATTCCTATGCTGGGTGTTGTGGTGTTTTGTGTGAGTGTGTGTGTGTGTCCCTGCCCTGAGTGTTGTAGATTTCAAGGCACAAGGACACACCCACAGGACACCACTCAAGTCTAATTCCTGCTTCCAGGCCCACAGCTGGGGGATGGAGGAGTGGACACAGCCCTGGGTGAGATGGGCCCGGGTGTCACTGGGTGCGTGTTGTGTGGCCCTGCTGTGTGGCCCTGCTGTACATGTGTGTTGTGTATCAGTGTTGCGCCTGTGTGTTGTGTGTCAGTGTTGTGTGTCCTGGTTGTATGTCAGTTTTGTGTCTGCATGTTGTGGCTTCATGTTGTGTGTCCCAGTTGTGTGTCAGTGATGTACCGATGTGTTGCATCTCGACATCGTGTGTCCCGGTTGTGTGTCAGTGTTGTGTCTGCGTGTGTTGTGTTGGTGTTGTGTGTCCCTGTTGTGTCTCTACACGCTCTAAGCATGCCCTGTTTGTTGTCTTGTTTGTGGTTAGCCCCGGTTGTGTTACATCTCCCCAAACCCTCTCCCCCAAGCCCCCTCCCAACACTCTGGGACCCCCCTGCCCCCAGGTTCACCCCCCACCCCCAACCCAGGGAAAAGTTAAAAATAATCAAAGTGAGAATTATGCTTCTCCGTTTCCACGGTGATCCCAGCCCCAGATTTTCTGCCCCGTTGTGTTATTTTAACACAACTTGTGTGCCCTGGGGGAGGCTCTGGGTTTTGCAGGGGCAGGAAAAGTGAGGCTGGCGGATCTGAACCCCAAATCGCTGCTGGGTGAATTGAGAAGTTTGTTGTGTTGGGGTGACGCACAATGGGGGGGAGTTTACACACACACACACATACACACGGGGCAGCAACACAACATTGAGTAACGGTGGGGGAAGAGTCTGTGGAGTGCTGCATAACGCACACGCCTGACACACAGGAGAGAGGAGGCAACGCAACACCAATGTCGCTCAGATACACACACACACACACACACACACACACACCACAACCCTCTACACACACATATACACACACACACCAACACTCTACACACACACCCACAACCCAACACTCTACACACACACACACACACACACACACACACCAACACTCTACGCACACACACACACACACCAACACTCTACGCACACACACACAACCCAACACTCTGCACACACACACACACAGCTAGTGCCCCTCACTCCCAACCCGCAGTCCCTGCTGGCCCAGCCCTGGGCTCCCCTCCCCCCCGCCCCATTGGCACATGGATTGTCTGAGCCAACCTGAGTCATGTCCCAACCCTGAGCCAAGGAACCGCAGGGCCATAAATCATCGAACTGGTGCTGATGGGGCAGAAACGTCTCAGGAACTGGGCATCACCTGGGCTTCCCTCCCCGCCCCCCCTCCACAGCCCTGCCAGTGCCCCTCACTCCCAACCCACAGCCCCTGCTAGACCAGCCCTGGGCTCCCCACCCCACTCACCCCCTCCCTGTCCCCTCGCTCTCAGTCACACTCTGTGCTGTGATTTAAATCTCTCTCCTCGAGGGGGATGCTCTTCCTGTCTTGCTATCCACCCGAAACGCCCCCTCCATTCATCTTCTCACCCAGCCACCCACAACCCCGTCCACCCACCCACCCACCTCTAACCCCCAGCCAGCCATCCACAACTTCATCCATCCACCCACCCGAAAACCCACCTCCATCCATCCACCTACCTGAAAACCGCCAGCCAGCCACCCACAACTTCATCCATCCACCCACCGGAAAACCCCCAGCCAGCCACCCACAACTTCATCCATCCACCCACCGGAAAAAAACCCTGCATACATCCATCCACCCACCCGAAAACCCCCAGCCAGCCACCCACAACTTCATCCATCCACCCACCCAAAAAAACCCCTCCATCCATCCATCCACCCACCCGCAAACCCCCCTCCATCCATCCATCCATTCACCCACCCGAAAACCTCCCCTCCATCCATCCATCCACCAACCTGAAAACCCCCAGCCAGCCACCCACAACTTCATCCATCCACACACCGGAAAAACCCCAGCAAGCCACCAACAACTTCATCCATCTATCCACCCACCTGAAAACCCCCCTCCATCCATCCATCCACTCACCCGAAAACCCCCCTCCCTCCCTCCCTCCCTCCATCCATCCACCCACATGAAAACCCCCAGCAGCCACCCACAACTTCATCCATCCACCCACCGGAAAACCCCCCTCCATCCATCCATCCATCCATCCACCCATCAACCCAAACCACCACCTTCATTTATCCATCCATTCACCCACACAGCGGGGCCCATAGGATTCAGGGGGCCTGGGGCAAAGCAATTTCGGGGGCCCCTTCCATACAAACAAGTTGCAATACTCTAGTAACATGTATTTGGAAATGTAAAAATAACCAGTGAAATACATTCAAAAATTAATATGTAATAATTTGAAAATACACTAAATACATTATTTAAAAACATTAAATGCTGTAATGGTATGTATACATTTGCAATTACGTAATGGGTTGTCGCTGGGTGATGGTGATGGTTGGTGCCAATGGGCTGTCGCTGCCTGTGGGTGGTGCTGCTGTTGCCCAGGGCTGGGTGGGGAGCTGGGCTCTGGGTCGGGGGGTGCCCGGCTCACAGGGGCTGGGCTCAGGGATGTGGGGAGATGGGGTCGGGGGGTGTCCGGCTCACAGGGGCTGGGCTTGGAGCTGGGGGTCAGGGCTGTGGGGGGCTGGAATTGGGGGATGCCTGGCTTAGAGGGGTTGGGCTTGGAGCTGGGGGTCAGGGCTGTGAGGGGCTGGAGTTGGGGGATGCCCGGCTCAGAGGGTTTTACCATGCCGCCTCCCCCCTCTCCCAGAGCCTCAGCGAGCCGCATCCAGGAGCTCCTGCCGCTCGGCCCGCCGGAGCTTGCAGCCCCGCCCCCTTACCACGTGGCTCCGAGCGGGAGGACCTTAGGCCCCACCCCCTTACCACACAGCTCCGAGCGGGAGGAGCTCAGGCCCCGCCCCCTTACCACGCGGCCCGAGCGGGAGGACCTCAGGCCCCGCCCCCTTACCACGCAGCTCCGAGCGGGAGGACCTCAGGCCCCGCCCCCTTACCACGCGGCTCCGAGCGGGAGGACCTTAGGCCCCGCCCCCTTACCACACAGCTCCGAGCGGGAGGAGCTCAGGTCCCGCCGCTGCAGCGCTGTCTAGGGCCGCTCCTGGACATGGAGTGCTGAGGCGCTGGGGGATGGGGGAAGGCGGAGGCGGGGGCGGGGGGGAGCCTCTGACATTCTTGTGGGGGCCCCTGCAGGGCCCGGGGCCTGGGGCAAATTGCCCCACTTGCCCCCCCCGGGTGGCCCTGCACCCACAACCCCGTCCACCCACCCACCCACCTCTAATCCCCAGCCAGCCACCCACAACTTCATCCATCCCCCTCAAAATCCCCCTCCAGCCATCCATCCACTCACAACCCCGTCCATCCATCTACCCATCCAAACACTCATCCACAGCCGCTGTCCATCCTTCCATCCACCCACAATCGATCTAGCCCTATGTACATCTCCCACCCATCTCTCCTGCCACATGTCCCATCTCTCCCTTCCAGACCCACCATGTCGGAGGTGGACAAGTCCCAGCCAGTGGCCCTGGGGGCCTCGCGGGTCGAGCTCCGGGTCTCATGCTGGAACCTCCTGGACCGGGACACCCTGACCAACCCGAACCCCTGCGTCGTGCTGAAGCAGCAAAGCGAGGGGCAGTGGAGCGAGGTATGGGGTCGCCGGGGTGGATGGGGATCCCCTCCACAAGTCTCCCGATCATCCCCTGTCCCAGGAACCCTCCCCCCATGCCTCCCCCTTGGGCTGCCCCCACAGTCCCTCGTTCTCACTCAGGGGAAATTGGGGAACCCCCACAGTGCCCCTCAGTTTCTGAGGTGTGTCCCTCTCCCCCACTTCTCTCTGCTCTGGGCTTCCACCTCTTGGCCCCCCAAACTCTCTCCCCCAGATAGGAGACGTGGCCCCCTTAAGCCACCGTCCCATTATCCCCCAAAGAGGTGCGCCCTGTTCCTCAGAGCCCCCTCTCCCCACTGAATCTCCTCCTGAACCCTGTCCCCCACCCCCAGGTGGGGCGCTCCGAGATCATGTGCTGCAGCTTGAACCCCGTCTTCTCCCACGTCTTCCCGCTGGACTACTTCTTCGAGGAGATGCAGACGCTGGGCTTCGAAGTCTACGACGCCAACGGTGCTGAGGATGCGGGGTTCCAGGATGATGCTTTCCTGGGGGAGGCCGAGTGCTCCCTGGGCCAGGTGGGGACATGGGGCATACCCCCAATAACCCTAACCCTACACCTAACCCTGGGGACATGGGGAAACCCCCAGATAACCCTAATCCTAAACCTAACCCTGGGGACATGGAGTATACCCCCAATAACCCTAACCCTACACCTAACCCTGGGGACATGGGGTA